CCTCCTGATGAGTCGGTGAAACTCCGACGAAACAGTCACAGCCCCTCGTTTGTTGTCCTCTTCTCTCTCTCTGCCTACGGTTTACCGGGCAGTTCTGTTTGTGACGATATATATCATCAAATAGAACTGCCAGGTAAACCGTAGGCAGAGAGGGAGAAGAGGACAACAAACGAGGGGCTGTGACAAACTGTTTCGTCGGAGTTTCACCGACTCATCAGGAGGCTGATATATATATATATATATAATGATGCACTCCGGTAGTCGGTGGAGTCCAGGTTAACACTCCTATCAGACACCTACCCCATCTCTTGGTCAATTAGGCAAGACGACCGATTGGCCCCTCCGATCTTTTCCTGCTCATCATGGGAGCACCCACCTCCTTCCTCACAAAGAGCCATCAAAATATCGATTGACAACCCAGCCTACTAACCCCCACCCCCCCTTGCCATCATCCCACCCGCTGCATTGACGTTTACCAACGATTGCAGTCCAGATTCAGGCATCCTGAGTGGAAAAATGGGATTTGAACCCTGAACCTCCTCCTTTCAAGCTTTACCGCCTTCACCCGAATAGAACGCTGGTCATTATAGCTGTATCTGGAATCGAAATTGTACCAGATGCGGATATAATGACCGGGCGTTCTATTCGGGTGAAGGCGGTAGTCAGGGCAATGGGAGCATGCAGACTGGCAATGAAAATGAGAACGAAGTCCTGATCACTATCCCTTTTCAGCAGCGCCCACCGTGCCCCTGGCATGTCTGGTACATAAGCTTGCGCATGCGCCTCTTGACCGGTGCATTGACCTAACCTAAAGATAGTCATTGGTATGGAATTCCTGGCGCTGCGTATGACCCAGTCCAGACAGCGGATTGATGGGCCGTTTTGCAGGGCAATTTCCCACGTGGGCGGAATCGCCCTGTGGATTCGGTCCAATTTCTCCTGACGTTTCTTAATGTGTGACAACGATGGTCGCAGCTGTTCGGCTGTTTTCCAGGCTCAGAAGACGATACCAAACTGTTGCATACTGTAACGTGCAGACCAGAACAAGAACCGACCTTTCAATACAAAGTACAAGATAACACAGCGGAAGACTTAGATACCAGTGATCCGAACAATCAATGTTGCAATGCAGCCCTGAACATACATCATCATCATCGTTACATGGTGTGAAATGGGCCTGGCGCCTCACACAGGAAGACTGCGCCAGCCCATACCATACACAGACGAAGAGGAAGGGGATAGACGAAGAGGAGGGGGAAGATGGGAATGTCGTCAACACCAAGTCTTTGGCACAAGCCCAAATAGTCCCTCGTCGAAATGTCTGAATCCCAAATGTCAAGTCTGGATCCAATGTCGTCAAGTCTCAAGTCACAACTCTGTCTCTCTCTGTCGTAGTCTGAGAAGTCAGGTGGCGAGAGGGTGAGAAGAGAAGGTGGACTTAGAAGAGGAAGAAGAAGAACTCAATCTCTCTCTGTGTCCAGTACTAACCTGTGAAGTTGGCGCCTTGATGCAGGTACCACGAAGATGGAGCTGGAGCGATGGCGCCWCAGGTAAGTCCCACTGGCCTCCGCCAGTCTGTCTCCCACTCTACGATCTACCACCTACCAGCGCCCAGCGCTGAAGACTACAGCTACAGCTATGGCGCCCAGCGCCGAAGACTACAGCTAGCGCTAATACCTGCCTAGCGCTGAAGACTACTGCAGCGCTTCTCCTGAGTGCTGCGGCCGAATCCTGAAGACTACCTCGTGCCTACTGAACTACCTACCCGTGAAGTGCATGGGAACTTCCTMTGTACTACGGGTGTGCCTCCTGAGCCTGCCGAAGGGAGGCAGGGGCTGCAGCTGCAGCTCCTGCTCAAACTCGTGAGGAACAGGCTATTTCTGGCCTGTTCCGCATCCCTGTTTACGTGCCTGAGTCTTAGGGGCAGGTCGAAACAATGAGGGCCTGAAAATGGCCCTCCGTTTCAGGCTGAAAACTCTGGGTCTGAAAAGACCCAGAAATAGGCTGAAACGGGGTAGGGCCTGCAGGCCCTCGTTTTTCAGCTTTCAGGCTGAAACGAACGGGGCCTGTAAGCCCCAAGTTTTAGGCTTTTAGGCTGAATGTCCAGGACGGGCCCTGCAGGGCCCGTGTGGCTACGCAGTATGCCACAGATACTTTGCCTATGAAATGGCCACACCAGTGTGTGCACTCCCATTCGATCCGGACGAATGGGAGTGGAAAGGGAGAGTGCCTACACCGATATGGCAGTAGTCGGTGAGACAAGGCTACAAACAGGTGCACACACTGCACATCTCCACACTGGTGGTCCAAAACGGTGGAAAAGGGACTCAGCAGTAGACGAAAAGAAACTGCATCGTATCCATTGGGCCACCTATGCACACATCGAGGCCGACATCCCACCGAGCTTTGCAATGGCAGATCACACACCGATGCCTTCCGACACCGGCCTGGGTAACTTCAAGGTCCAATCTGGAGCAAGCAGGTATCCTGTCCCTATTTGCTCCCACTGTGGCCCTAACGCACAACGCAGGTGCGCTGATTTGGAGCACTGCCTGCTGGCATGCCCGATGGCAGTGCAAGTGTGGCAATGGTGGGATGCATTGTGGCAAGACACAACCGGATCAACCTTTCAATGGAACATTGCGCTCATCCTCCTAGGCAAACCTGCTGATTATCCGACAGGATGGTCACCTTTTCAAGCAAACCTCTTCAAACACATGAGGCTTGCTCTCCTCATGGTGATCTGGAGAATAAGATGCTCAGCTGAAAGGCAAACATGCTGAAAGCCAGCAAAAAACTGGCAGAGAATATGGCAACGACTCCGGACCAGATGGCCAGGCAAAAACTTCTAGAGACCTTTGTGGAAAACTGGATCGACCCGCACCAAAAACTGGCTGGGGTACAGGAAAACGGAAAGCTATTGTGGAAAAACTGGATGGCACAGGACCACCGCTGGATTTATAGACCACCAGAATGCTTTCCTACGCCACTGCCAGGACGGACTATAGGCGCAATGACAGAAGGAAACCAGAGCCCCAGAGGATAGGATCACATCCCACGCGCTGGGTCCCCCCCTGCCCCCCCTTGCCACGGTCCCCCCTTTTCCTGCCAGCCTCACCTACATCGCTCCGGTCGCCTCATCCTCCCTGCCCGGTTGACTTCCCCCCCCTGACCCCAACACCCCCTCCCCCGGTCCCGACCGGCCCCCGTCCCTGTACACCTTCGCCGCCCCCTCCCTTCCCAATGTCCTCCCCACCCTGCACTTCGCCCCCTCCCCCTCAGTCCCCTCCGCCTCCCCCACACCACCAGGTGGCCAGCCGGCTCACATCATAAGTACATCAGCATTCTTCAGTGACAACAGACAACATCAACAAAGTTCCAATGGCTTCTTGGTATCTCATCAATGACACTACGGCCGCCCTGCGCCGGATCCGAGCAGTATCTGTGGTGAGCAGAGCCCCCCCCAGTACAGGGGCTGGGGGGACCCCTGCTGACCATACAACTCAGTACTACATAACCCAGGAGTGGATCGTTGTAGAAGGGACTAATAAATGTAACTGTGGGGTCAGAAAGGAAAAGATAATGGCAGCTCGATCAGCCCCGCACCTCGCAATGATCTAATCTGCTCAGTATCGGACCACACAATCAGGCAGGCAGTTGTTTGGGCCTAATCCCTCCCCATATAGTCTGCGGCATTGCACCCAGCATCTTAGAATGGTCTAATCTGCCCTGTAGACGAGCACACTCTCGGTTTTGGTAGCTGCCCGGCCATACTCTCTCCCTAAAGAATCAGCTGCGCTGCTCGTAACTCGCTCCACCCAGGGTAGATGTTCGTGCTCGCAAGGCCACATAAAGGTTTAATGAGGGTTTAATGAGGGTTCAGGGCTTAAAGGGAACCAAGGGCTGGACAGGGCGTCACTGAACAGGAGGGCTGCTGAACAGGGCTGGGACCAGATATAAAGAGGGCTCTTAGACGGGTCGGGTTTTACTGGCAGCTCCATGGGACACATTGAGCCCCGGGTAGATAACAGATAGCTCCGCAGCCACTGAAACAACAAACAACTATCCCCGTGAGTCATGTTTTTTTTTATGGGACGCTGGGCCCAGTTTCCAGCAGGTGCCGCTCCCCACCAATAGATGGAGCAGGCCAATAGATAAGCCCTCAATCTGGACGATTCTCTTACCATCGCCGGGATGGAGGGCTTACACAGGGGCTTTCACCAAAAAAAAAAAAAAAAAAAAAAAGAGAACGAACAAAAGGAAGATGGAAGGCTGGTGGTTGACTGAGTCTCTCTCCCACCAACCAGAAGGCATTCTCGATTTGATGTTTTGGTCTTCCAGAGAAGAGGCTCGCCCCTACCCTATCTACGGATAATGGTGAACAATGAGGGAAGCTGGCCAATATGATAGAGCCTACACCATTACCCGTTTAGGAAAGCCCAGACCTCACTCGAAGGCAGGGCTATGATTATCTTTTTTTTTTTTTTTTTGGGGGGGGGGGGGGCTATGATTATCAATACATCAGTCTTTCCAAACCCTATGGCATTAGTGTCTGTGTGGTCCCCGCCCGACGAAACACTAACGACACTGAATGCTTAAGTCGGGCGGGTCCTGTGGACAGGGAGCCTCAAAAAGCAATTTCGTCAAAACGGCAATATTTTATTTTTTGAACGAAATTGAAAACTCATAAATTGTCCTTCGGGACATCCCGTTAAAATTGGAACGATAGAGAGAAGATTAGCATGGCCCCTGCGCAAGGATGACAAGCATAAGTCGAGAAATGGTCCGAACTAAAAAAAAAAAAAAACACTCATAAATTGGCCTGATTTAAGCCGATATTTTCAGCTCCTGAGGGTACGGCGTTCTGAAAACGCCCTACCCCCTGGATGCAACCTAAGTCCAGATACATCCAGGGGGTACGGTGTTCTACCCCCTGGACTCCAGCCAAGTCCAGATACATCCAAGGGGTCCGTCGTTTTAAGGACGCCGGACCCTCAAGAGCTTGAAATTTGCAATTTTGCACCTAAATCGAGCCAATTTATGAGGTTTCAATTTCGTTAAAAAAAACAAAAAATGTCCATTCTGACTCTTGAGTCTTTTGACCCAACTGCTCTTCTCATCTCAATAAATGGTTCCGGATTTCGAAGGTAGTGCAATGAACCTTGCAATTTCAATCCAACTCGACATGCAAGATGAGCGCATTCACATGGAAGTTCACTCCACACCCGAGAGAGAGCACATGAATCAGCGTCTGAATCGGTCTGGTAGAATTCCACTAACAAATATGATCTAGCACACTTGGAGCGTTCAAGTATCCAACGGTCGTAGCCACGACTCGACGCTACAACTGGGACACAGGTATGCACCCGACTCCCCCTCTCTCGATGTCTGACTCTCTCCCCCTCGCTGACTGAATGCCTCTCACCTTCAAACCTTGTATCGCTCAACCTTCAAGCTCACTCTCTCCCCCTCCTAGGATCTACCCTGAATAGACTGCGTGATGTCACCCGGAACCTGTCATCCTGAACCTCTGCGGCTGTGGCTGCCGTCTTCCTGCACTAACCCTATCTATGCTTGTGTAATGACCCGCCATAACACAGACTGAGAACACTGCCGATTTCTGAAGTTCTGCCGATGGAACGGATGGCTTGCTAAGATTCCCGCATTCTGCTGAGTTTTCTAAGTCTGTATGTGTGTGACATGCCCAGTTCGGCGATGTACATATAAACCCCGAGGATCCGCAATGTGATGAAAAGGACTGAATGGACAATGCAGTGCAAGTAGAATCTCAACAAGCAATGTACATTCTGATACATACAAACATGGTGCTTTATAGCGCAGGGAAGACTTAGATACAAGTCCTGACCTGATCAAAACTGACCTCTATCACGTAGTGCAAGATAGCGTAGCAGACTGCTAGAATACCAATGACTAGCCCAATCAATGTTGCAACGCAGACCCAACATACATCATTCTCATCACAAAGTGTGAAGGGGCNAGCGTAGCAGACTGCTAGAATACCAATGACTAGCCCAATCAATGTTGCAACGCAGACCCAACATACATCATTCTCATCACAAAGTGTGAAGGGGCTTGGCGCTATACACAGGAAGGAGCCGCCAGGTCAAGACATACACAGACGAAGAGGAGGAGGAGATGGGAAAGTCGTCAACACCAAGTCTCGTTACAAGTCCCAAATAATCCCTCTTCAAAAATGTCTGAAGTCCAATGTCGAGTCTGGATCCAAATGTCACCAAGCTCTCTCTCTCTCACTGTCGTCATATGCTGATGCAGGGAAGTCAGATAGCGAGAGGGTCTCATGTGCCAGGTACTAACCTGTGAAGATGGCGCTGTGCTGCAGGTACCTCGAAGACGAAGGTGGAGCAATGGTGCTGCAGGTAAGCCTCTCTGGCCTCCGCCCAATCTCTCTCTCTCTAGTACTACTCTAGCTCCTGTGGTGCCCAGCGCTGAAGACTACTGCTAACGCTGCCACTACTACTGCAGCGCTCCTCCAGAGTGCTGCTGCCGAATCCTGAAGACTACCTCCTGCCTCGTGAACTGCACGTGAAGTGACTGGGAAGTACCTAGGAACAACCTGCCTGCCTGCAGGGCGGGCCAGTCCTATATAGTGCTGGCCCGTCCAGGAGGCTGCTCTTGCCAATGCCGAAACGTGCCAGACCGTGGCGTTGAAGCTCAACCAGGGGTTGTCTTGAAAACAGGTCCGCAATGGCCTGTGCTAAAACCCTGGTTTGTTGCCAGCAGGTCGAACTGATGAGGGCCCGAAAACGGCCCTCAGTTTCAGGCTGAAAACACTCAGGGCCGGAAAGGCCCCGATTTAGCCCAAAACGACACAGGGTCTGTAGGCCCTTGTTTTCAGGCTTTCAGGCTGAAACGACACAGGGCCTGTAGGCCCTTGTTTTCAGGCTTTTGGCCTGAAAACGTCACGGGCCTGGAAACGGCCAGAGCAGCCTGTTGCAGGTGCAGCATTTAACACCTCCCCCTCCTTATGAAGTCAAGCCGGGTCGAGGGCGAAGCTGACGATCTGAAGGTGGAACCTGGACGCGGGTGCGACTTGGAGCCGAAGATACCGGCTTGCCTTGCATTTTGCGTTCGTAGCATGCGAGAACATCCGGAGCTGTTGCTTGAAGTTCCGCACGGGTCAACCAACGGTCAACTTTGTGAGTGCAGTATGCAAAATGTACCAAGTAATCGGTTGGCCTGTTGCCGTAGCGTCGCTGGGAGATGATGTCGCCGACCTCCTGAAAACCGTCCATAGAGGGTGGGTCTTGCGATCGTCGCCCGGGAAAATCGTCATGTTCCGCTGGCGTGTAAAGAGCCAACTTGGAGCAATGAAAGATTGGGTAGACGGGCAAGTGGGCGGGCACCTGAATAGTGAAGGAAGGTCCCTCGGGTGCATCCCCAGCGGGTGCCACGATCGGCCAGGGCCCCATCCGTTTCGGGAGGAGCTTGCGAGAGATATCTTGTTCAAGGCTGAATTCCGCGGCGAAAACCCAAACGAGATCGCCGACGCGGAATGGGCAAGGAAGACGCCGACGATTGGCCTGTTGGCTCATGCGTTGGTGCGTCTTGGCCATCTGGTCGAGTGCCTTGAAAGTAGCTCTTGCATCCGATGCAAGGAAAGAAGATGGTCGTCGCTCTCGGCCGTTCGTGGAATGATTGTGTCCAACGGTGAAGTGACCGGCGAGTCGTGAGACATCCCGATAGCCGGGTGGATGGACGAGTTGCATGCCAACTCGACATCCGGCAACCGCTCAACCCAATCCTTTTGGTCGGGACGGATGAGAGTGCGAAGGAGAACCCGTGCGGTCTGATGCGCCTTCTCCGTTTGGCATCGGGTTGGGGGTGGCGAGCCGAACTTGGCTTGAGAGATGAGCCCCATCGTTTGATGAGCGCCAACCAAAAATCGGACATGAACTGAGTGTCACGGTCGCAGACGATTTGCTTGGGGTAACCCTTGGTTCGAATCCAACTGGCGTAAAGAACCTCGGCCAGCTCCGGTGCCTTGGCATGATAGCGGCAAGGCAAAAACATGGCAAACTTGGTGAGTCGGTCGACCACCGTGAGAATCCCATCCACTCCGGTCTTGTGCTTGGGGAACGGGCCGGTAATGTCCATGGCAATCGCTTCCCTTTGCCGCAAGGGGACCGGTAACGGTCGCAACGTGCCGTACGGACGATGGTTGCGGGATTTGCAGCATCGACAAACCTCGCATGACTCGCAATAGCGCGTGACGTCGCCGAGAAGGCCGGGCCACCAAAATCGCTCGCGAAGTCGGCCAATCGTGCGATTGACTCCAAAGTGTCTGGTGGCGGGAGCATCGTGGAACTCGCCAAGAAGTCGTGGTCGCAAGTGAGAGTCACTCGGTACGCAAAGAAGGTCCTTCCTCCGTGTGTGGACAAGCAAGTACCCCTCTTGGATCCGGTAGTGAAAAGGTGCCGGATTAGGAGAGGAGCAATTCGCACACTTGTCGCGAAACTTGGGGTCGGCTTGGTAGCCGCGGATGAAGCTGTCCCGCAGGTCGTTGCCGATCTCGAAGGTCGAGTAGACTGCGGTACAATGATCCAGACGTCGTGAAAGAGCATCCGCAAAACGGTTTGACTTCCCCGGAATGTGATCGGGAAAGAAGTCAAATTGGTCGATGAAAGCCATTCATCGGGCGATGGTGCTATTGACGGTGTCTTGGGTTTTGTAGAAGACCAACAGATTGTTGTCCGTTACCCATCGGAATTGGCTTCGACCAAGGAGGAAGTGCCGCCACCGCTTGAGCGCATGGACGAAGGTGAGGAACTCTTTCTTGCGTGCATCGTCAATGGAGTGCACGATGGGCACTTTCTTGCTGAAATACTCGACCGGGTGCCAGTCCACGCCATCGTGTTGCTCGAGAACGGCACCAATGCCATAGCCGGACGCATCCGTAGTGACGCGCGTAGGCAAAAGCGGGTCGTATATGCGCAAGACCTCCGCAGATAATAGCGCGGCTTAGAGAGTCAAAATTATTCTCGCGCATCCTCCTCGAAGTCAAACGACCGATCCTTGCATTGAAGCTTGGTCAAGTGGGCCGCGATCTTCGAGTATCCGTTGATAAAACGTTGGTAGTAGCCGGCAAGGCCAAGGAACGAACGGACATCCGTGACGTACCGCGGCTCCGACCACTCTTGGATGGCTTGAATCTTGTCTGATAGCGGACTGATACCCTCCGGTGTTACAAAATGGCCCAAGTATTCCAGCTCTTGCCGAACAAATTCGCACTTGTCGCGGTTGGCCTTGTACTTGGCGCGGCGGAGCGTCTCCAGCACTCGTCAAAGATGCTCAAGATGATCCTCCAATGATCGGCTATAGACGAGAATGTCGTCTAGGTAGACCAGCACGAACCGGTCCAACATCGCATGAAACTCGTTGGTCATTGTCGCTTGGAAGGTCGTCGGGGCGTTGGTGAGGCCAAAGGGCATGACCACCCACTCAAAATGCCCATACCGCGTCTTGAACGCAGATTTGTAACGATGGTTCGGTCGGATCAAGATTTGATGATATCCCGACTTCAAATCCAACTTAGAAAAATACTTCGCGCTTGAGCGATCGTCGATGCGAGGAAAAGGCCCCACATTCTTGACGGTTTGCGCGTTGAGCTTGCGGTAGTCGATGCACAATCGTAGATCTCTGTAATTCTTCTGTACGAAGAGAACTGGCGCTCCATATGAAGAGCTACTAGGGCGGATCCAACCCTTGTCCAACAAGTCGTCGAGTTGCGCATAGAGAACGGTAAGCTCCCCCTCGCTCATGCGATAAATGCAAACTTTCGGCGGCACGACACTGGCTTCGAGAATGATCTTGTGAGAGATCGACCGATCTGCCACCACACCGATAGGTGACTCGAAGATGTCGACGAACTCGTCAAGCAACCGCACCACACGGGGTCCCAAAGACAAGTCCGTGGGTGAAGAGTCGGCTACCACGACGGTCCGTAGGAAGCATAGGCCGATTTCGTTGGGCTGCTCGTAAGCACAAGTAGCCCGGAATGACTTGGCCGTCACCACTTGACACCGAATCGAAGGGTGTGGAAAAGGAATAGTACACGACACTTCGGCACCGAAGGCGTCGCGAACGGTAAGAGTCTGCCAGTGGAAGTTGACCGTGTGATCCGCACTTGCAAGCCAAGGAATTCCCAAAATAATGTCGAAGTCCGTGTCCAAAATATCAAATGTCACCGGTTCGCATGCATGAGGTGCGAAATACACCGGTACGCCCTCGATGTAGCGGTCGATAAGCTGCTGCGTCCTTCCGTCCGCCAACTGAATCGCCGTCGGGTTTGCCTTCCTTCGAACTTGTGTGCCAAGGCCAGCCTTTTGCATAAAGGCCTGGTTCATAAAATTGTGAGACACACCGCTATCCAGCAAAGCGCTGCAGGACGCTTGCCCAACTTGGATGCGAACATAGAGGAGCGCTGCGTTGTTGTCGTCGTACCGCTGATTGTGAAACTCGCGTGCCACCTTGGTAACATATGCAAGGATGTCCCCCACCGCAACTTTGTCATCCGTCGGCGAAGTTGGTGGTGCATAGAATAAGTACGTGTGAAGATGAGCGCATAATGCTGCGCATTGCGGTCCCGGCAAGCGGCCCGTGGTCGGGAGAGGAAGCCATGCGAAATCCTCGGACGTGAGCGGGTCCAATACATCTATGTTGAACTCGCGCGCCGAATCCCGTGAAGAACCACTTGAAGACGATAAGTCGCCGCTGCCGGACGAAGAAGATGCCGCACAAACGTCTTGTCCTTGAGCATGAGTACCCAGCGTAGGAACGAGCCGGGCAGCATAGTCCTCAAAAGAATAAAGAAGAGGACTATCGACTTCCGCATGTGCCTTGGAACGAAGGGCGGTCACCCGCGAAAGGACCGGTTCCGAAGGCGTCGAGAGTGTCGTCGAGTCACTCCCGACGGTGCTCAGTTTCCCGATTTGCCCTTGCCTTTCGACTAGCAGGCCATTGTGTCGTGGAGATCGCTGTTACACCACAGACAATAGCGAAATCTCGTGCGTGCCTTGTATGCTTTCTCGGAGAGACCGTAATGGGACCATGGGGCAGGAGCTGCTTGCTCGAAGAGACTGTAATGGGACCATGGGGCTGGAGATGCTGCGCCGGGCCCGGGGCTAGATGCGGTGCTTGTCTTCGCCTTGCCTCGTCCTCGACCTTTGCCGGGGCAGCCACCTTCCCGGGCTGCTGCGAGTCTGTCCCCTTCATTGGCAGACACGGCCTCGCTAGTTTGGTCGTTTGGCGTTGCCGCCGCGACCACGGCCACTTTCGGCCGGTGCTGATCTCTGCTCAGGCTCGACGCAGACGAACGCTGGAGATTCTTGGCCTCCTTGTTCGTGACAATAACCTGCGCAGCCTTGTCGAAGAGTTCTGTTGGTGTCGTCAGGGTGTCCTCGACGTGAGTCAAGGCATTGCCCAACGTCGGACACGACCTCGAGATGAAGTAGTGTTTGATGGCTTTGAAGCCCATTTGAATGTTTGGGATGGATGTCAAGCGTTGGTACTCGGCAATCCAGTCAACACTCAACAGCGTGCCTTGTTCGAAGACCATCAGCTTGTCCATTGCCTTGATCTCCGACGGCTCTACTTGGAACCGCTTATGCCATGCCGCCTTTAGATCATCCCAACTGATCTTGGTATGCAAGTCTGCACCCACCACTCCGTGCTTGGACAAGAGATTGTCCAACCATGCTTGGCACACGCCCCCCAACCGGGAGTACGCGTGGTGCTTGTGTTCTTTAAAGTAGTGTAGCTGCAACATGAGCTCGAACCTACGGAACCATGGAATCGGGTCAGTCTTGGTCGAGTCGCAGAAGATCTCCTGCCCATCGAACTTTGGATCTGTCTCGCGCGGTTCCGAGCTTGCGTGGTTGGCGGCAGTACAGATCCGCTGCTCCAACTATTGCGTTGCGGTTTGTTGTAACTGCACACCGTCCTTGACGGAGCCGACGTCAGTCTCCAATGCCTCGAGGCGATCGGAGGTGTTGTAAGAGCTGGCATCGGAGGCGGCGACGGGTCGCTGCTCCAGTTGCTGGAGGCGGCTGTGGACTTGAACCAAACGTTGAGGCTGTGGATGTCCTCCTGCTGTGTAATGCATATTGCCAGGAGGTCCGTGAGATGGGAGAGGAGGAGAGCGATCTTGTTTTCACTCTCTTCCATCTTGCCATTCTTGGCCTCGGTCCGCCAATCCGCTGCCAGTGTGAGCAAAGCTCGCTCTCCGCTGAATATCTTCTAGCGACGTTGAACTCGTTCTTCATTGGCAGCCTTTGTTGTTGCCTCATCGTGCTGGCGCTGTTGTTCAATTGCCAACAGACGTGCCTTCTCGGCGTCCTCTACCTTCTGTTTTGCTGCGGCTGCTACTGCATCCGACCGTTGCTTAGCTTCGGTAATCAGAAGCAGCATCCGGGCCTGATAGGCCTCATCCGTTTCCTCGGACTTCTGTTCCATGACGGCTGTTTGCGAGCGCAAAAGGGGCCTGCTGACATGGTACTGCCTACTGCTGACATGTCCTGCTGACGTGGCCTGCTGGCGTGGTCTGCTGACGTGGCAACTTACCAATGCCACCGCAGGGGGTACCCGGGGGCAACAACATAGGTGGGGAGGGGTGGGCGGGGATAAATCGCCCAGATAAGGAGCCACTAATCAAAAAAAGAATTGAACTTTGCAAAAAAAAATTCGAGAACAATAAAAATCCCGAGTTTTGCAAGTTCAGTAGGTCCCCCAACCTCCCTTGAAGTGCGAAATTATCACTGAGAGAAAGAAAAAAAAAATTCGAACTTTCAGACTGCCAATGATTATCAGGTAGTGAAAATCATAGAACTGCGAATAAGAAGTGCAAGAAAAATCTCAACAAGCAATGTACATTCTGATACATACAAACATGGTGCTTTATAGCGCAGGGAAGACTTAGATACAAGTCCTGACCTGACCGAAACTGACCTCTATCACGTAGTGCAAGATAGCGTAGCAGACTGCTAGAATACCAATGACTAGCCCAATCAATGTTGCAACGCAGACCCAACATACATCATTCTCATCACAAAGTGTGAAGGGGC